AAAGTAGAACATTCAGCCCATATTATTCTCCATGAGATTTTTATGTTCTTATTGTTTGTAGTGATTGTTATGCAGCAATAAATGTCCTTTGTGGTATAGGACTCCTATCAATGCCTTATGCATTTAAAGAAGGAGGATGGTTGTGTCTTATGCTTCTATTGCTTGGTGGTGGGATTTCTTGCTATACAGGAATATTGATAAAGCTGTGTTTAGAAAGATATGATGGACTCCAAACTTACCCTGATATTGGACAAGCTGCATTTGGTTTTGTTGGCCGCATATGTATAGCTGTGAGTATTTATACAAAACTCAAATATTTCTACAAATAACAAAAAGAAACCATGAGGACCAAATATGTAACTTTCTCTTTTTGTTTTCTAGTATAGTGCTAAGTATAACTTTTGGTTTTTGACTTTTTTTCATTTCAATGCAGATGGTTTTGTACCTGGAATTGTTTGTAAGTGCTAATTGTGAATATTAATTTCATTGCATGATTGTATCTAATTAACAGTTTTAATTAATCTAAAGTTGTGTGCTAATTAATACTGCAGTCTTCTTGTGTGGAATATTTGATAATGATGAATGACAATTTATCATCACTTTTCCCACTTGCTCAATTGGATATTGGTGGTATACATCTTGATTCTCATTACTTATGTGCCATTATATCCACCCTTGTTATCCTTCCAACAGTTTGGCTGAGAAACCTTAGTTTACTCTCCTATATTTCAGGTTCTAATTTCTATATCCTTCAATAATTTTCCTTTTATACCCCTGACTGAGATAAAGGAACTAATTCCAGAGGTTTTTTTGAGCAGCTTTTGGAGTTGTAACATTGGCAACTGTGATTCTATGCTTGCTATGGCTAGGGGTAGTTGATGGAATTGAATATCAACCGAGTGGAACTGCATTAGAAGTTGGAAACTTGCCTGTAGCAGTTGGACTTATTGGTTTTTGCTATGGTAGCCATTCTGTTCTTCCAAATATCTACACTTCCATGAAAGAACCTTCTAGATTTCCATCTGCTATGCTTATCAGGTGACACTATTATTCATCAAAAATACTTTTTTACCCTAAACACTTTTTTATTGAACTTGTGAATTCATGCATGCATGCAGCTTTTCTATAGGTTTCGTTTTGTACACTGCAGTAGGAGTATTTGGATACTTGATGTTTGGGGACAACATTAAATCTCAATTCACTTTAAACATGCCACCTCATTATCTTACCTCCAAGATTGCAGCATGGACAGTGGTATATATGCATCAAATATATATATATATATATATATATATATATATATATATATATATATAACAATTTAAACAAAATCCCATCATATCTATAGCTTTAAAATTAATCTAATATTATTATATACATGTTGTACACAGGTTGTTACCCCTGTTACAAAATTTGCATTAACGCTTACACCAATAGCATTTGGTATTGAAGAACTTTTGCCTCCATCTCAACAAAGTTCTTATGCTGTCTCCATAATCATCAGAACAGCTTTGATGTTCTTCACCCTACTTGTAGCTTTAACAGTTCCATATTTTGGTAATGGATTGTTTTTATTAAAACTAAATTACATTTTTCGTCCTTATTTAAAGTTGTTTTTTTTTCAATTTTGCGTCTTACTTGAGGTTCTTGTAACATTTTCGGTCCCAGTTCCAAGTAAATTACTAGTTTTGGTCCCAAAAATTTAGTCATTTTAGTTGGAACATAGACTAAAAACGTCAAATAAGTACCAAATGTATAAGAGAACATTTTGGGACTAGAATTGAAAAAATCAGCTATACTCATGGTTCTAAATAACGCGCCATGGCGCGCCTCAAGGCGTGCCATGGCTCGAGGCGTGGTGTACCCGTTACGAAAACGTCCAAGGCGGATTTGTTAAGCATGGCGTCCAAATAACGTGTCAAGGCGCGCCTTAACGCGATATGGCGCGAGTTTTTTTCAAGGCGCGAGTTTTTTTTGTTTTTTTTTTATTTATTTTATCGGGCCTAAAATAATTGAGTTTTTGTTAACTTTTTATATTAGGTACTAATATAACACTTCTAAAAACTTGATATACTTGATAAAAATCAATAATTATATTATTTATCTCTTTTAATATATATATATATATATATATATATATATATATATATATATATAATAGTCACGCCTTGAAAAACGTCATGGCTCGCCAAGGTTTGTCATGGCTTAACTTTTACCTTGCCGCCAAGCCACGCCTCACGTTATTTAGAACCTTGGCTATACTCAAGAACCAAAACGTAATTTATACTTTATTTTAATTTATTATATTCATTACAGGAGTTGTAATGGCCTTGACCGGATCAGTACTCATGATGCTTGTAGTAAGTTTCACATTTTTATTCTTCATTTTATGAATATTTTTAATTAATTAAAGGAAAATTAAAATAATTAATTTCTTGATGTTTTTACAGTCTGTAATCTTTCCGTGTGCTTGCTACTTGCGTTTACTCCGTGGTCAAACCACAACATTTGAGGTCCAAAACTTACATTTTTATTTTCATAATCGTATAAAATATATTACCTTTTTTTTGTATGTTCCTCAAGCAGAAATCTATAATTTTTTTTTTTTTTTTTTTTTTTTTTTTTTGCAGATTACAGTATGTTCTTTAATGATTCTTGCTGGATTGATAAGTGCTATTGTAGGCACATATTCATCACTTTCAAGTATTCCTGGTTAGATAATAGGAAGATGGTAAGTATTATTAGGAAACGGGAATTTTATTTGATACCACATTTTTATGTTTGATTAGATGTTGAAAATGATTTTTGTGTTGAGGCCATAAGGTTTATGTCGTTGCTATTGTTTTGAATCTTTCGTATATGGTGGTTTTTGTGTATTTAAAGGTTTCATTTGGGGTTAAGGGACTATAATTTTCCCACTTTGTTTTTGAGTTATTTTAAGAATTAAAGAGGGAAAAGAAAGTAAGGATGAAAAAAAAAATCTTGTTATTGAGTTAGAAAAAAAGACGAAGTTTTATATACGTTTGTCATTCAAAAAAGTCAAAATATATACCATAGCGTAATGAAATACATATTAACAACAAATAACTTAGTGAAATATCACATCAATCTAATATACTCATGGTATTACTCTATATACTTGTACCAAAAATATCACCAAATCTTCTATGACATTCCAACAAAGGCCACTTCATTATCACATTGAATATACAGTTTACGCTAAATAATTGAAAATAATATCATGTATGTGTATATGTAAAGATTGAACCATTTACTCTAAATAAACCATGAATAGATAGATCATAGATACTTCAAAGGAGTCCAAAGAATATTCAGAACAAACATAAACGCTTCACAAAGTCGGACAATATTTCATATCTCTAGTTCTACAATTGAAGCAAGACAAATGGTCGCTCTAAACTTGTTGGGCGCCGGTGTAAAAACAAAAAAAAAAACCAAATTCATATAGAATCCGACAACAGTATAAGGCTAGAAGGGTGGATTACTCAATACAAGTTAAACAAAACTAAGATGTCTTTAACAAGACCTTTAAAGCTGTAGTTTTTTATTTGTTTAAAAATATTTAGCTATGTCTTTAACAAGACCTTTGAAGCTGTAGTTTTTTATTTGTTTAAAAATGTTTAACAAGACCTTTAAAAATGTTTGACAAAAGTAGCTGTGAAAAGGTGTAAAGTTATATAGATTATAAAAGCTAAAAGTTTAAAACTCCTAAAAGTTATTTTAATTATCTTTTTAATTATGAGTTTTTTTTATAAAATTAAAGTTTTAAGCTCATATTTCAAAAAAAAAAAAGAACTTTTTCTTAAATTAGTGTTTTTTTAAACTTTTAACAACTCTCAAAAACTTGTTGTCAAACAGCCCTTAGGGGACTTTGGTAAATTGCGTTGAATTTTGAACTCTTACTAGTTAAGGGAATGTAAGATTGCATAACCATTTAGATGTAGTTCTGAGGTTTTTTATTCATTCGGAAGTCTTTTGGAGATTGGGTCACACGTATTGAATCCGAACAATTCACCTCAAAATGGTTCCATTTAGAGGTTACCAAAAAGCTATTCAGTCTAGAAAGAATTTATATATATATATATATATATATATATATATATATATATATATATATATATATATATATAATATATATATATATATATATATAGTAGGAGGCCACATTTGATTGCACATCTTATACATGATTTGGGTCAGGTTTGTTAAGAGAAACTTTTATCAGATAAGCCAAAAAAAAATCAAATGCTAATGGAAAACTTAGATATGAAAAATGTATACAAATTAATTAAGGGCCTATTTGATGGTTGTTGTCTGGAAAAATATTGTCTGAGAAAATGTTGTCTAGGAAAGAATCTGACTCACCTGAGGTTTTCTAGGAAAAACATATCTTACCGGGAAAGACCCCATTTTTTATACAAATCAAATAGTTTTTTCGGCCGATTCAACTAGAAAGAATTGTTTGGACCTAAAAAGATGTCTATCAAACGGAGCCTAACATGCCCTACGTCAATAAATGGTTAGATGAATCTATAAGTATTAGGTTAATAGTAACCTCGACTTACTTATCTTTCTTGTGAAAATGAAAGATCATGGATTCTTCTTTATGAGGCATATCAATTCTGGTTATAAATCATTGTCATTTATTGATGAGAGAAATATTTGTTTGATTTCAATTGTATAAAACTATAAATAATGAGCTATATCATATGTACAACTAAGATTATGTACTAGTCCTTACAGTTGTTTTGTTGGTAAAGAGATGAGAAGACTATAGATTATAAATCAGTTTTCTTACTTTGGTACTATTATGATTTACAACACATATGTTGGTCAATGTCAAGAAATGATCGTGACCTAAAAGTTAAAAACAAATCTACAAAATCATAAAAAGGAAATATGACTAATGTTGAGCCACTTTTAGATGATAGAGAAAAGTGTAAGGGTCTATGTTGTAACTTATCCGTACTTTTCTTCTTCCGGAGCCTTTCAGGCTTTGTTTGACGTGGAAGCCAAAACTGGGAGCCTTCTTTGTCCAAATAGACCTATCGGACACCCACCGCTCCCTTCTGCAATCTCTCCTAATAATAAACAAATCCCCCCGCCGGAGATGCCGTCGTAAACCTATACGCCGGTACCTCCGCCGCACTGCTTATACCTCAAAGATCAACCTACAATTTCCCCTAATCTTGCCCATTGGGAGATCACCGGAAAAGAAATTTTGAAAAAGAAGAAGGAGCGTGGCTCCTCGAGAAATGGCGAGTGGCGGCAAGCTCTCGCCGCACGTGATTGTCGTCTCACTTGCCATCGTTTACATATACTTTTCGACTGTCTTCGTTTTTGTGGACCAATGGTTTGGGCTCCGTTCGTCTCCAGGAATCATGAACACCGTCGTTTTCACCGCGGTTGCGATTATGTGTATCCGTAACTACGTCGTCGCCATGTTCACGGATCCTGGTCGGGTCCCGCCTTCATTTGCGCCCGACATTGAGGACTCGGAGCACCCGATTCATGAGATCAAACGAAAGGTACACAATGCGGGATCTCTTCTTTTTCTTCGAATGTTACTTGATTTGCATTTTCTTATTCTATTCATTCTATTAGTTTCCTTTTCAGGTTTAAGATCCCATCTGTGTTTTTAAAATCATTTCTGCAAATCAAAATCTGTGATTTGATAATCCGTTGTTATGATTTGTTTAGACCGACCTTAAAAGGGTTTTTCCCCTTAGCTTGCTAAGTAGCCATTACTTCTTGGGATTGATTGTTAGCTTGTTAATGTTCAACTACTCTAGCTGGTTCATATCAAAATCTACATCATTCCCAAAATACTCAACATAAGTGATCTTCATCGATATTTAAGATAAAAGTGTATACTTTCTTCCATTAGACGTTAAGGCATGTACTGAAACCAGGGGGTTGCTTCTTCTTTTTTTCCCATTAAGTGTTCTTTCTCTGTTGAGTTGATCTTTCTGCATTTAGTAAAAAAGAAACAGTTAATTATAGCTTACCAAATTGAGCCATATCCCCATTGAAACTGTTATATTAGAAAAACTTAACACCTAAATGTGGTAATGGCATGTTCAAATTTATATACCGTTGGCAGGAGGTTGCTTTAGCAGACACATTGATTTTCCTCACGTGCTACACTTGATGGTTATTCTTCTTAAAATTGAAACCCTAAGGTTAAGTCTTGTAAGCTTCTTCAAGATTGTTGTAAAGAGTTGTGTACATGGCTTCCTTTTTAGACATGGAAACAAATTTGTTATGGTGATAAATGATAATTGATCAATGCTTCTCTTTTGAGTATATCTCTAATCATAGGTGCCTTTAGCTATTTTCATATCTACTTACACCTGATGATTATGACCATTTTTGTCAACTCAACAAGATCCAATTATTTTTACTAGCATGATTCATACTAGATCTATCTCTATAATCTGTATATGTAAAGATGTTATAAATACTTAGGGGAAGAAGAAAGGAAAATGCTTTAGAACATAAAAGTTTCCTATACTTGTATTTGGTGTTGACTTTTGAATTCTGATCATAGAGCAAAACAGTTTTTTCACTAGTTTGTTCAATGTGATAGTAAGAAATCATGCAAACTGAGGAATAGTAACGCATTCGACAAGAAATTGTAACTATTTTTTTGACTTGAATGTGTAGCTAGGAAATACAAAATATATATGCTCAATCTTGTGAAGTTACATAATTTCTATGGTATATTCAACTCCCTAATAACTTTACAACATGTAACTATGAGTTTTCTTATTAAATCCTGTATGGATGAAGTGGCTGAATGGATAGTGATGTGATGTCTGTCTGGATAAAGTGATGTATACATAAAGACTGTTTCTTTTATTGAACAGAATGAAGTGTATGAATATGAGTACATGACCATTTTACCCTTTTGTATAGAAATGTTGGTAAATGACAAATGAATGTTTATATAAGAACTATTATTAATCACAAACTATTTTCTATAAATAACAATACAAATGTAATTATATTTAACCTCAATATGATTAGAACTTAAATTGAACACGATATTTGATCATAATATCAAAATAATAAATTAAACCGAATGTAATAGTTAAGAATTAATTGCAGCATAAACTTCATTTAGTGCTCAAATGGTGTCGATACCAATACCATATGAGACTGTATGAACAAATGCTGTTTCTTTCTTTCTTGGGCTGAAAGAACTGTAAATGACGATTTTACCCTTGTGTTTGAGACTGTAGATTTGTTTTTTGCAGGGGGGTGACTTGAGATACTGCAAGAAATGTTCATCATACAAGCCACCTCGTTCCCATCATTGTCGTATATGTAAACGTTGTGTCTTAAGAATGGTATGCCACCTTCTGTGTTTTATGATTTATGATAGTAAATGACGATTTTACCCTTTTTGGAAATGAAATTGAAGGATCACCATTGTGTTTGGATGAACAACTGTGTGGGCCACGCCAACTATAAGGTGTTCTTTGTGTTTGTTGTATATGCTGTCCTCGCATGCCTATACTCTATGGTGTGTATCATCTTAAATCTTTCTTTCTCCATTTCTGTTTAAACTTTTAAATGATTGAAGTGATTTATTTATTTTTGAGTAAATTACACGAATGGTCCCTACGGTTTGGGGTAATTTGTGTGCTTGGTCCCTAACTTAATTTTTTAACTCGGAAAGTCCCTACTGTTTGTTTTTGTTACGTGTTTGGTCCCTACTGTTTGTTTTAGTTACGCGTTTGGTCCGGATCTTACAAAAAACGACTATTATTTAAATAGGGAAAAATGATGGGGTAGGTAAGGTAAGGTAAGATGAAGGGGGTGTGTTTATTTAAATAAATTAAAAAATCAAGGGAAAAATAGTCTTTTAAGGTAAGATAGGGACCAAACGTGTAACAAAAACAAACATTAGGGACCTTCTGAGTTAAAAAAATAAGTTAGGGACCAAACGCGCAAATTACACTAAACCATAGGGACCATTCATGTAATTTACTCTTTATTTTTGGATGTGTAGATTTTGCTTTTAGGTAGTTTAACTGTTGATACACAAAAAGATGGACAGCAACCCGAAGGATCTTATAGAACTGTATATGTAAGAAGTCTTTCCATTCTTTCTTTATTTTTTTTCTTTTTTTTTGAAAAAATCTTACAAAGTTCATTTGTTTTGCAGATCATATCCGGGATGTTGCTAATTGCACTTACCATGGCTTTAGGTGTCTTTTTGGGGTGGCATATCCATCTTACATTACAAAACAAAACCACAATAGAGGTTTTTTTTTTCTTTTTTAAATAATATATAGATTTTTATTGTAGGCATTATCTTTTTAAACATAAACAATGTTTATAACATCAACATGTGACAGTATTACGAAGGCGTGAGGGCAATGTTGCTAGCTGAACAAGGCGGAAATGTGTACTCTCATCCGTATGATCTTGGGGTCTATGAAAATCTAACTACAGTGAGACAACATTTCCCTTTTCTTTTTCTTTTCTTTTATAACATATAAAAAAAAAAAGATTAATTAATTTATATATTTATAGGTATTGGGTCCCAACATTCTTTGTTGGGTTTGTCCTGTATCAAACTACATAGGATCGGGTCTACGTTTCAGAACTGCATATGATCATCCACATGGCGTATTCAAAACAACAACTACAACTTCAACTTCTTCTTCTTCTTCATAAAATTATCATGATATATTGTTATATATAAAGTATAAAGGGGATCGACTAATGATATGATAGGGTGAGTAGAAGTACTAACAAGTTGTCCTTTTGTTGTGGGGTTTGTTTTTTGAGGGGTTGGTGGGGTGGGGTGGGGTGGGTTGGGGATTACAGTTTGTTTTAGACTTTTAGTGCTTGTATTGTACATACAATAAGCAACATGGATGGATTATGGATAGATGGATATGGATATGGATGGGTAATATTTGTATAGATAATTGCTTTAACTATAAAAGGAAGTCTTTTATCCCTTTCTTTGGCTTATGTGAAATGTTTTTTAGCTACATATTTGTGTTTCCTATGAAGGCCGGTAAACGTAAATATAAGACAAAATTTCACAAATGGTCATTTTGGTTTTAAATTTACCCAAAAAACAGTTTATATATATATATATATATATATATATATATATTATATAGATATAATATATATATATATATCTTAAAAAGGCAAAAAACTAAAACATAGAAATTTATAATATTTATATAAATGAAAAATAAAAGTAATTAATTTTAATCAACATGCAAACAAGTATATTTCCGTTTTGGTTTATAATATAGGTACGTTGTTGTCTTCAATCTATCTATATTTATATTTATATCTATCTATATCATATCATACTATACTTATAAATGAGACATTTTTCCTATCACCTCATGTATTTGAAACCTCTCCTACAAATTTCCAAGCACCTCATGCATTTGAAACCCCCTACACCTTTTCACCTTTAAAGTAATTAATCAAACATCATGAAAGGTTTTATAAATTATATAATATGTTTAATAAGCATCTAATGGATAGTCTAATATAAAAATGTCATTCTCTTTGTATAGACACACAAATACAAATAACATACAAATTTCACAAAGAAAAAAAGTTTAAAGGTTTTGTGTTGATTTGAGGGCTTTAGACCACTTTTTGAGCCATTTTATTATGTTAAAGTTTTTAATTTGTAGGTTTGTTATATACTAATTTTTTTTTTATATTTTTCTTGGTTTAAGTATTCTTTAAAGACAATCATTGTATGTTGTGGTTGAAACTTTAATGTAAATTAAATTATATTCATGTTATCAATCATATGTTATGAAAAGTGATATAGATAATATTTAATTAAATATTGTATATATGTTTATATGTTTGTATTGCTTTAAAGTAATAATTAATAAAAAATCATGGATATGCAATAATATACATAGTATCCATGTGAAACGTTAAAAAATGGCATTTTTGGAAAGCATTGTGCCCCCTTTACGATGCCTCCCTACGTAACTCATGTTCCCTTACGCGACCAACTTGAACTTGAAGATTTTTCTTGAAAAACAACCTCAGGACTGTTGTTGATGTGCACCCCGCACAGAGTGCCACTCGTCTCGCGCACAACATGCGGCCAACTTTGACTAATATTTTAATTCTCATTGACGTGTAGACTTTAGTTGACTTTGTTGACCAAGTGAATTAAAATGTTGTAGCCTCTTCTTCTTCCTTAACCCTCAATGTGTTCTTCCTTCTTCAAGCACTTTATCTCTCTAGAATATAACCCACCTATACTAATACTCACCAGAAAAATCGAGACTCCTGTTGAACCGTCGGTCGGAATTCAACGAAACTTGTGTCATTCTCTTTCTTTTTTCTGAGCTCTACAAACTTCACCCAAAAAATTCTCCGATATGTTGCCAGAATAGTGGGCGCAGCCAGCACCACTTACTGAATTTCTGACCAACTCTGGTATAACGCCCGCAGATTTGAGATAGTCAATTAAGATATAATAAGTGTTAAAAATGATTTGTTTATAGAAGATTATCTAGGGTAAATAATCTTAATCAAAGTAATAGTTATGGTCAACAATCGTAACTTATTTTACGTAATAAAGAAGAATTATATGAATATTATGTGTTTTATGATTATATAATATAATAAAATAAGAAAAATCAGCTGAATCGTCCGTAAATCGTAAAAATAAGTGCGTCAAAACATATATATATATATATATATATATATATATTATATATATAGAAAGTATATACGTCTTCCCGATCCCAAAAATATAAATTTCGTAGAAATCCGACTCTGCATGAATTAGATATGATTTTTATAAGATATAAAAGTCAGCCGCGCACAACGGATGTACGACGTAAAAAGCTACGAAGAGAATGGTTGACTTTTAGCTAATGCCACCAAAAAGAAAATCGTAGTACTCCTTAAAATATGAATTTTGAGAAAAAGAATGCTAAAAACGGAGTCCGTATGAGAGAGTTATAATTTTAGCAAAATCATTTAATTTTATAAAAATATGGACGAAAAATAAAGTCAAAATTAGCCGACGGAGTATAAACGAAAGTTGTAGATCTCGTCGATAGCTACCGGTGGACATAAAGAACGTAAAAAACGGAGTTCGTATGCACGAGTTATAAATTATAATAGCATATTTACATATTAAAATAAAGTATAAATCATATATCTATATATATATATAGTATATATATATAATATATATATATATATATATCATTAGAAAGGTATCGACGATGCGGTCGTTATGAGACTAGTGTTGAGTACTTTCGACATTAGTTTAGTATAAATATCATTAAATCTATTTAAAATAGTAGTATAAAGGGATGTTTAGTCGTTTAAATAACTATAAGGTCATTAAGTAAATATAGATGGTGGTTTTTGAAAATTTAATTACTATAAAAAGAGTCTCTAGACTCTCATATTTCTTGCACCATACTCTTGATTCAAGAGTCTTTCTTTTCTTATCCCCGAGCATTTCGTTCCCTCATGATTCGACTTCTCTTTCTGTAGTTTTAGTATAGTTAGGTGAGCGCTGAAGCGTTGAAAGAATCTTTTTTAAAAAGATTCAGCGACGAAGTTCTGCCCCTGCAGAGCCCGGCTCCTAGCTAAAACCCCCTTGTAAGTAAGTTATGCTTACCCTATTTTAAGTATAACATATATTTAAATCTAGTATCGTTAGTATGAACTTATAATAAATATTTGGGTTAATATTATGACTTATATAAGTGTCGTTATAATATCTTTTTAACTACTCGCGGTACGGGGAATCCGGTTTGAAGAGCCGCTTGGGTTGTTGGATTTAAAAAGTGTTTTAATGCCAAAATGGTCATGCCCTTCGATGTTTCATGTATGGCCCCTGTCTGTACATAGTGGTTGAGAAGTATTGTTTAAACGCTTATATAATAATAATAATAATAATAATAATAATAATAATAATAATAATTTTATTAAAACTAATAATTAGTCACGGTAAATATTATACTCAAATCTAGTAGTAATAATACTAAGTTTCGTCGAAGGAAATTATATTGTTAAGAAGCGGAGCGTTGTTCGAGTTTGGAGTCATCACTTTAACAAGTGAGTGCATAGTCTCTTTCATGAACATGATTTTTAATACAAGTATTAAAATATATGTTTAAGTGTGAAATATTTGATATTGCCTGAAATATGTGTTATGAGTATATTTGATAATATATGATGAATTAGGGTACAGAGTAAGCCTAAATTAACTAAGATGAATATTGGGTAGTATCTTCTTATGAGTTTGGGTGAGATATACACGGAGAGTAAAACTTTAAAATATGTCATTAATCCGAGAGTATGGATTAGACATAGTCATTCGTCCCTAGTCCGAGAGTAAGGATTAGGAATAGTCATTTGTCATTGATCCGAGAGTATGGATTAGACATAGTCATTCGTCATTAATTCGAGAGTATGGATTAGACATAGTCATTCGTCCCTAGTCCGAGAGTATGGATTGGGCATAGTCATTGATCCGGGAGTATGGATTAGGAAAAGCCGTTCATTTCTGATCTGGGGGTATGGATTAGGTAAAGCGGTTAATTTTAGATCCGAGAGTATGGATCGTGTCTTTGTGAGGATTGACGGGGTGGGGTAAGAGTTGCTTTTATATAGTGAAATTGTATAGTTTGTGAGTTCTAATATATATATATATATATATATATATATATATATATATATATATATATATATATATGATATAACATTGTGGGATTGAAATCCCTATGTACTCACCAGGTTTCCCAACCTGACCCACTCAGTTTATTTGTATCACAGGTGTTGATATGAAGATACATTACACTGAAAGATTAAGGAGATGTAGATCACTAGTGTAAATGAATTAAGGTCTGTTTATGATTATGTTTCTGTATTGACGATGACATCCCAATGTTTTAAAAGGTATAAAATACATTTCTTCGTAAATACTTTGATGATATATTTATCATGTTTTTTTTGGAACAAATTCCGCAACATTTTTCTTAAAAAGGTACTCTGATTTTTATATAAATCATAAACAAAATCGGTTTTTTCTGGCCGTAAAAATGGGGATGTCACATCTGGCCACTTATAATGATTCAGACACCACCAAAGTGTAGTTCTTATTCCAAGCTACAAATCTCGCGGAACAAAATTGAAAAATCTCACCAAAAAATTTGGTTGGAATTTTTAAGCCAACGTGGGCTGCCACCAGATTTTTCTTAGGGAGGACGGAATCGTCCCCGTCCTTCCCGCTACCCGCCAAACCCTTTGTGGAGGGAGCCAAACCCGCCTAAACCGCAGCCCTCCCAACCCATCTTCCCTATTTTTCTTCTGCGATTCAACCCTCCAGCGGTTTCAAGAAACCGCTCAACACCCTCTTTTCTCTCTTGCTCTCCTCCCGCCCACCCCTCTCCTCCTGCCTGGTCAAACCCGCTCACTCGAACCCACTACGATTCCCTCCTCCCTTAGAAATTGAGTCAGAAACTTCGAGTTTTGGTGAGGAGCTTACATTCTAACACCTATTACCAACATCCAAGCTTGGGGTGTGAAATTCCAAGTCACAAATTCTATGGGTCTCATTTTTCCGTTTTCAAATTTTGGGAATGCCAACAAAAAAAGGGTACATTCTTTCCTTAGCTCTATTTACATTACATGCATTAAAAATATGATTTCAATTGATATTGGTATTGATTTTGCTTAGGATTATTATTTGTGCCCGTTTTGTTGAAACTTTGGTTAGAATTGTTGGAACTTTTTTTGAAATTGTTGGAACCTTGATTAGAATT